TATATATGTCTATGTTTATTTTAACACAGACAAATGGTGTGTTATAATTAACAGAAACTTCCAATATTTTTGATCAAAAAAATATTTTGATATTCACGACCAAAGCACTGGTCAAACTTTTATTTCTTATGTTACCAGCCTCAGCTTTTGTCCAAATAAGCTTGGTTATTTTCATAATTTAAAAGCCAAATTTTTATCAAGGATATATTTTGATAGTCAAGCACTGTGCTATATGCTTTACATGCATGATTTTATATCTTGATGGAAACTTTACAAATAGATACTGTGATTGAACAATTTCACAGTTGAGGAAATTGAGATGTACAGAGATTTAACTTGTCCAACATCATGAAGATATAAGAATCAGAGGTGAAAGTAAAGCTCAAATCTGTCTATAAGCAAACATTGAGTACTATAGTCCTACTCATGTTAAATGTCCAACTTAAGGCATTCTCTCCTAGTCATACATTGATGACCAACTAAAAGAGACCTTGCTATCAACTGAAAGTAGGTATCTCCCTAAAATTCATGTTGAAGCCCTAATCTGTGATGCAATTGTATTTGGAGGTGGGATCATTGGAAGGTAATGAGGGTTATATTAAGTCATAAGAGTGGGGACCTTGTGATGGAATTAATGTCCATATAAAAAGTGGGAGAGCCCTGGCTGGTTTGGCTCAGTGGATAGAGTGTCAGTCTGCGAACTGAAGGGTCCCAGGTTCGATTCCGGTCAAGGGCACATGCCTGGGTTGAGGGTTTGGTACGTGCAGGAGGAGGCAGCCAGTCAATGATTCCCTCTCATCGTTGATGTTTCTATCTCTCTCTTCTTCTCCCTTCCTCTCTGAAATTAATAAAAATATATATATTTTTAAAAGTGGGAGAAACATGAGTTCTCTCTCTCGCTCTCGCTCTCGCTCTCACTTTCGCTCTCTGCTCTCTGTTGTGCATACACAGAATGGCCATGTAAGGACACAAAGAGAAGATAGTTATCTGCAAGTCAAGATGAGAGCCCTAACCAGATGCTGAATCTGCCAGCACCTTGCCCCTGGGCTTCCCAGTCTCCAGAACTCTAAGCAATAAATGTTTGTTGTTTAAGCCACCCAATATGTGGTATTTTATTTTAGGAGCTCAAACAGGCTAAGACAGACCTTGTAGATAAACTACATCA